TACGTTGGCATTTAAAATAGTTGGTTTCATTTACAGTACTTCTGTTGAGACGCTAAATTTCTGTAATTATAGTTTTCTTGAAAATATTTTCCATATACATACAATATATACCAGTTATAATTAAGCAAATGTATTCATTAATTAAATCATCTTGGTCCACTCCCTAAGTCTACTTAAGTGTGAAATTTGTGTACAGGTAAATAATACAGCACACTTGTGTCATGATCACGTGCTGTCATTGCAAGAGGCCGAATACTCGTGCCAATGTATGAGATCAAAGGGATGTCACCAGGTAGATAAGTAGTTTGTAAAGTGATGTAGGTTTTTATGCGTCGTCTGATTTTCCATTTTACAACAATGTCCTCAAAACAAGGAAATTAAAGACGGTTAATTGGAGAAAGATATCAATGAATGAAAACCGTAAGCCTCGTCCATTGGTTCATAGATACATTACATCTTTGTGAGACTTGAACGGACAGATCTCTCTCTACAAAATGTTTATACGAATAGCATTATTCTATATAAACGTAGAACTGATCTAGAATCAGATCATATTGAATGTATTTGGATTCAACTAAATCAAAAGCACAGAAGGAAAATGTTATGTTTTGTGTATATACCACCAAATGTAGTCACATCTTGGAATGGTGTGTTTGATGGTATGCTCGAGATCTCAGTCAGTGAGAATCAAGATAAATTATTCTTGATGATGTTAATATTGATGTATTACATTCAAACGTAATTAATTTGATATTCGTGCCTGTTTGAAAATTAAGAAAGTTAAAAAAAATTAACAACCTGAATGTTATAATGTGGAGATAGGTAAAGCTCGTAAACTATGGGATGAATATCACAAAATCAAAGATGGGGTAAATTTTAGGATGTGGAGAAATAAAACAAAAACATTGATTAAGAAATTTAAAAAAAAACCTATTTCAAAATGCTATAGTTGATAATAAGCCTAGTGGAATGTTATGGAAACATATCAGATGTATTTCAAACCAATCACAAAGTACTTTGCCAACCCAATTAACAGATGGACCAATTATCTCAGACAGGCAAGAAGTTTTCACTTTGTTTAACAATAATGTATCCTTAATTGTAAATAAGAAAACATTAAATCATAATGATCATCTTCAATTAAAAGATGATATTAAAGAGAAAATGGATGACAGCTGCCCATTCACAATTCCATTCATTAAAGTAACAGATGCATATACCGCTATTTCTGTGGAATACCATGGGTTACGTCCCCTTAGCGCTATTCGAGTCGCATGCGAGAGAGACATTATTACATAAAAAACAGTTACAACGAGAGAGAGAGAGAGAGAGAGAGAGAGAGAGAGAGAGAGAGAGAGAGAGAGAGAGAGAGAGAGAGAGAGAGAGAGAGAGAGAGAGAGAGTGACGTTTTTGTGACTGGAGACATGTAAGAATTATTAGATTGATATTTACACTTCAGTTAACACCTCAAACAACCAACGATGTAATTGTTTCATAATAAATGTTTCCTTTCGAAACAAAATAGATTAATATCTTCAAAAACAGAAAAAAATCCGACAGGAACATTCGATCCAAGCACTTTGCAGCTGAGAGGAGGGGTCTTACCACTGTACTATCGTTACGTCATTGATTCTAAACCTTGTAATTGTAGTGATTGAAACGTCGATGTTTCTTTATAAAAAAGAAAATTGAACCCTGTTTGTGTCTTACCTATGTTGATAGAATATGCCAAGTTTAACAAAAGGGGCAATCTTCCAGTTTCTTTCGATCACTTTGGATTTGCCATAGTTGGGTCTTCCGATTTAATTTTTTTATACAAGGACATAGTGACGTTTGAAGGCCTCATTGAAATGCTCCCACCATCCACATTTTTGAGGGGGTCTTAACTTTTTTTTTTGTTTCATAAAAACATCACTGCCAAAAAACAATCAAGTGTATCATGTGATGTGGCTCTATATGATTCTAAATTACCAATTGTTGAAAGTATTACACATGTTGGTGTTTTGTTGAACAGCAAAAATAATAATATTGAACGCACAGAACGCGCTTGTTCTAAGTTGAAGTGTGGAGTAATGTCTTTGATTCGTTCTGGGGCACACCCATATACGCTCAATCCTCTTACTATTGCAAAAATAGTAAAATCTAAAGTTTACCCTTCAGCATTGTATGGCTGTGAATTGTGGCAATTAAAGCAAAGAGAAATTTATATGTTAGAAAAGGCACAGAATTTCATTGTTAAATCAATTCAAGGTTTCAGTTTAAGAACTAGAACGGACATGTGTACATCTTTGCTTGTGTGGTTTTCAATTGAAGTATATATAAGTATAAAGAAAATGCAATTTCTTGGTAGAATTTGTTTAATGAATGTAGGTTATTTAACACGTGAGATTTTTATTAAACGGTTAATTGAATTCAGTCTGACCCATTTTAGTAGAGGATTTGTGCCTGATATTGTTTATATTCTACAAAAATACAATTTGTACTATGTTCTTAATGAATTCTTGAAAAATGGTGTATTTCCTAACAAATCACAATGGAAGATTTTAATTAATGGTCATGTTAGAAAATATGAAGAAACTAGATTATTTGAAAGAATGTACGTAGATCGTGATTTTTCTCGATTTATTCTCTTACATAATAGTATACATCCTTACCCCGTTTGGAAACTTGCTCTACGTTTTCCACAACATGGTTTTTATATCAAACGAATTGTTAAACTAAGCGTTGAAATGCGTGGAAATGAAAATGCTCACCTGTGTCACTACTGTGGCCTCATGTATAAAGATGTCATTATTCATAGCGTGCTTGAATGCTCTCACACGGAGAGTTTACGAGACCAGCTCTGGTGCTTACTAAGCACAGTGAAAGATATAGATTTTGTAGTTTACCTTAATGAATTGTCAAATTATCAATTAATACAATTCTTCGGGGGAATTATCGACTACGATATATCCCCATTTGAACTAGAGGATTTTAGAATAAACTCAATAATTTTCATCTTCAGAATCCTACAACATTATCATGCTATATAATTGTAATGTTTGGTCATTTTGACTTCAATATGAAATATTCACGTCTTAAATCCTATGGTTGTAATATGCACATTTATTGGATTTAACTGGGAAAAAATACCCGAAATGATTTTTTTACGAAGAAAATTAATTTTTTTTTTCTTTTGCATTACTTCATACGATATTATATATATATATATATATCTTGATATTGTACTTCACGCGTTTATATCCTTAACTATAGGAGTTGGTGTATGTATACAATATACGCACGTAAACTCTGTGTCTATTGTTCACTTTGTATGTAATTGAACTGATTCTTGTATGTATATGTGTTTACTTTATAACTTTTCTTTATATTATATCGTTCCATATGGAAAACGCTATATTTTCGCTGCGTTTATATTCATAACTCTGTGTCTATATGTAATTGAAATGTTGTTGTATGTGTTTACTATATAACTTTTCTTTAATATATGTTCCATATGGAAAACGCTTATTTCGCGCGTTTATATTCATAACTATAGGAGTTGTTGTATGTATACAATATGTACGTAAACTGTGTTACTGTTTATATATTAATTTAAATGCTTCTTATGTGTATATTTGTGTACAAACGCACTATTACTTTCTGTAATGTTAATGTATGTTCTTTTTGTACAACTCTTCACACTTGGAGGAAATAAAAGAAATAATGATAATAAAATTTTATTCAGTATTTACAGGTAAAAACGTCATAGGACAGGCCCTAATGACGCCAGCAACGCCGATGGACAACCGGTAGCACCGGTAAGGTGCAATTATCCCTGACAACTACGATGGACAATATTTGTACTGATTTAATTACTCTAAACTAATACACGATTATAAACCAGTAACAATAGCTATAGGAAGACACAAAATAGAAAGGAATATGATAATCATACAATTTAAACCTGGTAACGATGATCAATTATTAAAGGGATATATTAATACAAAGAATGAGGTAAAGCATTAAAGTTACACGGCTAAAGGAAGATTTATTACTAACTCCTCGTCTTGAATAGTACAAAAAACCCTTAGTCCGGTTATAACCGAGCCTAGGACACTCCCACCATCCATCCTTTTTTTGTATTTCTTATATGGCTTCCATAAACTCGCCTGTGTGGGTACTTACCCATTACATGGTAAACAGTTTCAATTTAAATTCAATGCAACTAATAAAACCGACCTGTCGAGGGGTATTCATGTTTAAAATAACAAATTACATGCTAATGAATCTAAAAAAAAAAAAAAAAAAAAACCCAAAAAACTACCATTATGCTAATTTCCTCTTGTCATAAGTTTGCATGAAGACTCCTATAAGCATCGCTGTAGCTGGTTTTGATATTACAGGAACAAAAACTTCAACAGTTCTAGGTATCCAAATAGAAGAAATCTTTACACGGACATAACAGATAAAGAAAGTTTCGAAAAAAATGCCTTCAGGTGCTGCTTTACAACTTAAACTTACTCAGTATCTACCATGCAATGTTAGGAAACTATGTTACAATTCCTACATTCTCCCGATAATAGACTATGCGGTTATTTAAAAGGATTTAATAGGATAATAGTGAACGCAGGCATTTCTGCCTCTGTATTCACATCAACACAATGCATTATTAATATAAACATAATATTATACTAGATATAAGACGCTGTATGATCGTACCTCAGAAATCGTCTAGGTGTTTTTCAAATTCATGAACGTTAGCCTAAGTGATGAAATTACCCATGTATGGGGTAATGGTCTACCTAAAGAACGAATTGAACTTAGATAGAAGTTAGATAAAGACTCAGTTTCATTCATCGTTTGGCAGCGTTAGATATCTGTTCGACTTTTGGGTTCATCAATTTTTCAAATATTTCGCGGGAGACACAGAATAAAATATATTTAGACCAATCAGCAGCTAACTTTATCTTCTTTCCGATGCAGTAGGAAGTGTATGACGTCAACACCCAAACAAATAGACATCGCTCATGGTCGTGTGACCCGATCCATTGATGACTCGTAACTGATTTAAACGAGTATTTCACATCAGAGTCTCATTTCACTGTTGTGCCAGCATGTTTAGTAGCGGCGCAAATTACAGTAAGTTGAAAACCAACTTACGATTGACCATCAATCGCTTGAAACTACTGGAAAAGAAGAAAACCGAACTAGCGGCGAAGGCAAGGAAAGAAATCGCGGATTACATTTCTGCTGCTAAAGATGACCGGGCCAGGATCAGAGTTGAGCATATCATCCGGGAAGATTATCTTGTTGAAGCAATGGAACTCCTTGAGATGTATTGTGACCTTCTCCTGGCCAGATTTGGTCTGATACAGACTCAAAAGTATGCAAAAACACCTCGCGTCTCTTCATTAACAGATATATACATATATATGTATTAATAACAATCATAATAGCTTTACTTTTACTTTCATGTCGTTTTCAAATATTCGACTTTAGTACATATAATTCTTTTGAAAAGTGACGTTGCTGTGAAATATACACTGCAAGTCAGTCATATGATGTATTATTGGCAGTAGTCAATACAACTGTTTACAATGAGTGTCACATTTTATTACAAAAATTACACATACTTTTCCAGTAGGGATGTACCGGATGTCCCATTATAGATATGAAAATAGAAAGCCACAATATCAAATGGGAATTAGTAGTTGTACTGTATTCTTTTTATTATTGATATAATGGGAAGAGGTTATAATGAAGTAACTTGGAAGTTTTTACACGATTGCTGTTGCAAGTAACATCCTCATTAATAACGTGAAGCAGGCCAAACCATATATTATAATTATATGACACAGATTGTTGTAATGCTACATTAATAATTATAATATGTATCTGTTTTATTTTGTAGAGAACTGGACCCTGGGCTTGAAGAGTCAATTGCTAGCATAATCTGGGCAACACCTCGCCTTCAAGCTGATGTACAGGAACTGAAACATGTGTCTGACCAATTCAGTGCAAAATATGGCAAGGAATTTGCTCAAGCATGTCGAACAAATGAGCTGAACAATGTTAGTGAAAAGGTTATGCATAAATTAGGTGTAGAGGCTCCGCCCAAGATACTTGTAGAACGTTATATGATAGAGATTGCCAGGACCTATAATGTGCCATTCGAGCCAGACCCATCTGTGATGGCACAGGACGAGATGTTCAGTGCTGAGAATTTTCTCATTGATTTGGGAGAGAAGAAAGGAGGAGGAGGTAGTGGTGGTGGTGGAGGAGGAATGGGAGTATTGGAACCACAATCAGCATCCTACCTACCTCCCCCACAGCAACAGTATCCTCCTCCAAGTCAGGCCATGATGTACCCACCACCGCAGGTGAGAAATTTTCAACCAGTCCATTACTATTATAGTTTTGCATTACAATAGTTAGACCTGATAGTTTGGAGTCAAGTGAACAGTTGGTTTCATTATCTGATATTTAAAGTAACTTATGATATTTATTTGTTATTCACAATTTTTATTTATGTTACGCTATTTTCAGTGACTTGGAATTATTTTCTTTATTTTGGGTAATATAATGTCATCATGTTTGTCGTTGTTTCCAAATTGTGAACACATGCAGAGCAGTGATTCAATTATCTTACTCGTCAATGCAAAGAAATTGTCTTCTAATTGGTCTTTCCCTACGAATACATTTCAATATTTCTATCAAAATATCATATCAGCTAGACTCTTTTTGTGACAGTTTTATGATCAGTTACCTTTAAAAATAATACACCATGGTAAAGTCATCATACTAGGGAGAGTTGCAATAATATTGACTGGAGGGCTATTTATATAGTGGTTTTTAGTGGTTTAACATGCATAAAGAGGTGTGTTTTTGAATGAATGATAACAGGTTTTAAAACATTTTCTCTGTACACAGACTGCTGAAAGAAAAGGAATGTTTGACACCAGTAGTTGACTGTTTTTTTGTTTTCCAAATATTACAGTTTTTTCAACCACTTCAAGACAGTCTCCAAAATGTTTTGTGTTCAGTATGTGAACTAAAAACAGAGGACTCTGCAGGGGGAGGTGGGGGGAGGTGTTGTTATGCACCCTGTAAATGGTCAATAGAGATTCAAATTCTGGTGTTTAAATGCTCAACTATACCTATTGGATGGAAATGTACAGACTTTCAAGTAATCTATGGGAAAAATCACTATCCATGAGCCTCATTGATTAATGAGCTGGAAGAAAATATGCACCAAAAAAATATCTAAATCCTGGCCAATATTGAGGTTAACCCATAGAATATCCACAAAGTTGTCATCGACAACAGAAACCTGACAAGTTTTTAACAGATTATCCTTTATGAAGAACCTCTACCACTTCCATCTTAGTTTTATGATGAAGTGTTTTTGTTGCCTATCCAAGTGAAATTAATAGATTTGATTGATTTTTTATGTTTCAAAGAAATTATCTATTAGTAATTATAGAAATAACCTTTGTGAAAAACTGGAATTTCAGTAATTTTTGTTTCTTTTAAGGAGTAAAGAAAAGCCATGCAGTCATTCTCTCTGTATTTTGACAGGGAAAGCAAACTGGTTTGTTCCCCATAGTTAAAATTTCCATTTTGTTGCAGACAAAGCAGCCTCCACCTTTACCGCAGGCACCTCCAGCAGCCGGTATAGACACCCCTGCTTACCCACCCCCACAGGGGGGACAGAGTTCAGATTATGACAATTGGTTAGGAGAGGATCCCAAGAAACAGCTTCAGAATACTGTACCCACACAGCCTCCTCAACAGCCACCCCCTCCTGTCGGATTCAAAGATGGATTTCCTGAACTGCCGACGGTTCCAACCAACACACTGCCAGATCCAGGGAACTCTGTAGGGACTAGCTCTGCAGGAGGAGATGATGTGGATTTTGATGATTTGACAAGAAGATTTGAACAGTTGAAAAAGAAGAAGTAAACAGTGCTTTATCACATGTTAATATGTTAGTTTTAGTGCTTTGAAATGTTAGTGACCTGGATATAATTGAAAGACTTCATGGACAATATTCCTAGTCTTGGGACATTTCTTTTACAAAGATAACTTATTACACGAAGAATCGTTTATAGTTAATGTGATATAAATTTTTCATAATGTCAATCAGAACATTACACAAACAGCAATTGAAAACACCTTTAATTCTTATATAACACATAAATCTGAAATGAAAAATCTCAGAACTTGCATGAATCTGACCTGTGTTCTGTCGTAACAGGAATTCAGACGGAGGAAAACCTTGTAACACTGTTGTTATTTGTCAACACTGACAAGTATATCAGACTTAACATTATTTTGAAGTAAACTAATACCCCTGGTGTAAGTATTATTCCATAAAAGGAAGAGAAGACATTGTATGTTGAAGACATAGAGTGTAAATGAGTATGAGGAGGGATATAAAACAAGTGGTATCATATTGAGACTTACTGAATGTTTGTTTACCACTTCTAGATATTATATTTATGCTGTTAAAAGACAGGGTTGGAAAATGATTGAACAGCCTATGAGAATCGGTTATCTTCTCGTCAAAGAATAGTACATCTCAAATAAATTATGACAATTCAGTTTGATTTCATTTTTACCTGGTGTTAATGTCAATGTGTTATCTCCCTTGAAATAGTCAAGGACTTGATAAACTTGAAACCTAAACAAGTGATATTAAGGAACAATTGGTGTTTATGTGTAGGGAAACTGGCTGAATCTATATGTATTGTGTTGCTATTACAATGTATATATTAGTGCTTTACATGCAATGCAGTACTGTCGTATAATGATTATTGTATATTTAACTTGGTAAAAGGAGCATTAAATTAATAACACAACTCATAATAGTGTCTTATAGGATGTACCGGTACACAATTTAATATTTGTACATTTTTAGATCACCTGAGACTAATTCTCATGGGGACCTATTGCAATCGCCTTTTGTCTTGTGTCATGTGTTGTTAACCTTTAGAATAGTCAAATTGGTTGAAACTTCAAAAATCTTCTCAGTACCCAAGTATAGTAGAATGAAATATTCCTTGTTGATCGAAAGGCCTTTGGATGCTTTATCAAAATTGTGAATTTCATGACCAGGGGGTCTCGCGTTTCCCTCTGGGAAGGGGTAAAGTTTACAATCATTTATATCGGAAAATATCTTTTTTAACATAATTTGTTCATTTTCACTAAGAAGTAGTTCAAACTTGGTTACAATTGTTACTATAGGATGACAGATTAGTGATATGCTCACACTGACCTTGGCTAACTTCTAATGACTGATGGGTGGGGCCTATAATGGGTCAAATTGACTCAAATTTCAAAGATCTTCTCAATATCTAGATTTGGTAGAATCTATCAAATACTGTTCATGGAGCGAGGAGTTTATTTAGGAAAACTACATTTTTTGGTTTAATTTTCTTTAAATTCAAAATTTGTTAAAAGCCTTATCATGGACAGCAGTTAATATTATGCGCAGTTTGCATTTGCATTATGTGTGCAATGTAATTAAAGTTATTATTTCTATGACATATTACAAGGAGCATTGTAACTCAGGTTACCATTAAGGCCCTTGTGCCTCTTGTTTTATATTGAAACAGTTCTGCAATTGATAAATTACAAAGTAACAGTGGTTTTTATGGATTTATAGATCAGTACCATGTGTTGTAGTAGTTTGTATTGATGTATACAAAGAATAAGGTTTTTTACTGAAGTGGTATATACTGTCTAGTATATACTGATGTACATGGCGTCCATTTAGTTAGTGGGAAATAATCATTTTAATTGATAATGTGCTTCATGACCATATTTTAACTTAAAACTTTAATGTACTTAAGCTTATTGAGTCTGATATAATGGTTCGAGAGAATTGTTGGTACACTTCAATCTTCAAATTTCAAATTGTAATTAATATTTAATATTTGCTGATTTTCTGATTATTGACTGTAAATGTGGGTGCAATCCTTTTTTCACTGTTAAAATTAAAACGAAATGAATCTTTTCTAGAGATGTTGGTTTATTTTACTGGTGAAAGTAAGTTACATTATGAGTGAAAATACAGGAGACCTGATGGTATATCTAGCTATGCCCCATGCTGTATAGCTCTTCTCTTTCTTCCATTAACATTCTCCTTCAGGCCTTTCTCTCTAATGCACACTTAAACACATTGATTTGCCTTCTGAATATTCACAGTCCCTGGTTGGTCAGTTACATTCTAAATATAGTTAAAATTTGGACCTTAAACCATTACAAAACAACTGATATGAATTCACTTCTTAGAAAAAATATTTCAAACAAGAATCATATGCCATATATATGTATGGGCTATAATACTTAAAGATATGGACTGTGGGTTGGGAATTCGTGCCAGGGCCCTGTGATCAGACTTTGTTCAGATGAAAAGATGAATAAGTTTTGTTAACAATTGAGAACTTGGAAATTGGATAATGACAACTTTGTGACTAGACCGCCAGATATGCTGGGAAATCCAAAATATACTCTAGTATGGCTATCGATATTAATTACGCAATATAAGTCAGTTATCAAATAGAAGAGGTACAAGTGTCAGCTTTATCTGCGATCAGTATCTGTCGAAGGACACATAGGACAATTTGCTGTCCAGGTAACGTTATGAAGTGGACAATAATGTAAATCATATATAATCTTCATACGTAATGATTACAAAAACCTCACACATGGGAATAAAAAGACAAAGGATATGGGATACTTTCAACTAAGGAATACAGATCTGTCTACATGGTCAACCAGTAGTATTTAGTGTAAATAAATATATCCGTACATTGATACAACAAAATCTTTATTCAATGCAGATAATCAATGTGTTAAGTTCATCGATACACCACTTTGCTTCAGCACTTGAGCAGGCTTTTAATGACTTCCAAAGTATGAAATCAAATGTTAAAGAAACTCACACTTGTCAATGTTTTGGCATGCTTCAGAAGTATGTAAAATGGTTTAAAAATAAACAAATACTTCAAAGAATTTATAAAGATTAATTCAGTCAAGAAAGCATTCAAATAGTGTATTGGTCAACAGCAGAGTACTGGATGGTACTCCGTTCATGTCCAAGGATGTATATATATCCCTGATTCGTCCATCAATATTTTGAAGGTAAGGTTTTGTTAACATACAAGATAATATGGTCCGTTTTCAATCATATGCATTCATAAATGCTTATATCTAAGTCCATGTCAGTATTTATTTATAATTCACCTCAGTTTTTAATTTTCAGAATAAAGTTAAATTTTAGTTTTTTGTTTTACTAATGTCAACCAATACAAGGGGTTCAGCTATTGGTTGACTTTCTATAGCAAGAAAAGTTATTATTTTATATTTAGGACACAAATTTTGAAGCAAGGCTCAAACTGCATTGCACTGCGTAGGGATAACGGGTCCATAACTGTCGCCCCTTTTCCAAAATCCTGGATCTGCGACTGGTTTCTATTGAGAAAGGACATATAATACAGAGGGACAAGAACTGCCTGTAGATAGCTCTTTGTAATGTGAAGGAATTTTAATCATTTTCTCAAAAACTTACATAACCATTTCTTCCAAAATATACAGTAGCAGAAAAGAAATTGATAGTGCTAACTTCGTGACAAATAATTTCTGTTAACTTTTGAAAACAAAATGCATGTTTAAGCTATTTACACTATCCGTGAACTGATATACCACCCTATAGCAGGTTGTGTACCACTTTCAGTTGGAAATATGAAGAAAATATATATATTTTAAATGATGGCTTTAAAAAGCCGATTAATTTTGCAATTAACTTATGTAAGTTATATGATATTTCACTTTATTTAATTATATCATCTTTGTTACGAAAATGATATTCACATCTCAATGTCCAACAAAATGGCTCAAGTCAAAGTCAGTGATAGACAGCTCCTCACACTTCTGACATATCCGGCACATCCTGTTATAATATGAATGGTAATATGACGCTGTGTACTGTAAGGTGGCTCCCACTTGCTATACACAGGTTTTATTGAATGAATGAACTTTATTTTTACTTCCAGTTCTTCTAGCTTCATAAATAATGTGTCCCATTTTAGAAAATATTAATTATTTTTGTTTGTTTTTGTTTGTGTTTTTGTTTGTTTTGCATTTTTTTTTTTTTTGGTTGTGCATATGACAGTTTGATAAAACATAAGAAATTATTAATTTAAACAAAGATGGATTATGGAAAAAAATCACATACTTATCAAATTAATCAGAGATCTCTATGTAGATACAATGTATGTTTATTCTGAAAACCCTACGTCTTATGAAATATGCATCTTAATCAGAATAATAATGTATATGTGAGTAAGTGTATGATCGGTCACATTTTCACCTACATCTATCTTTAATGCAAAAATTATTACATATATTAATATAAATCTTATCTGTTCAAACGTTGTACTATGTATTTTTTATATACTCAAAGTCAACCAACATACTCAGTCTACTCAGCCTCAAAATGATCCTGGCAGTTATGGGAGTTTTTTTTTTTTTTTTCTTTTGTCAAAGGTTTATTATTTCACAATGACGAAAAAAAAAAGAAAAACGAAAATAACATACCGTCCCCGGGTGGGCTTGAACCACCAACCTTTCGGTTAACAGCCGAACGCGCTAACCGATTGCGCCACGGAGACGTATTGACAGTGTAAATGGTTACAAAATGTCAAGAATCTGGAAGATACAGATTTTTCAGTCTGACAGCTAACACATGCTTCCGGTAACTACTTCCGGTGACGGACGATTGTGAAAGCTAATCGAAATCTTAGGGACGCCCGACAAAAAAGTAAGTTTTAAATAGACGTGAACTGATTACGAAACAATTTGGAAATAATCCAACTGAAAAATGAAATGTAAAATTTTGGTCAACAGCAGCTGACATCAACTCCATTTGGTTTTCACGTGCGTTTCACTCTTACTGCCCCTTCCCACCATCCTGCAATCTCATTCTGAAGATTGAATCCCGCCAACCATTTCTTGTAAGGGATTTTGCCTGCGTTTGAAGTGGAAAGACCCGCATTATTAGGTATCACTCAATATTTTGTGCTTTCTGAGATACAACAACACTTTGTACATTTGTCTTTGATCTCTAATTTAGTCTGTTATAACAAATAAGACATGGTGACAAATAGCATATTGTCAGCAATTATTTGTTCGGGGCTTGTGCAGTGACCAGCATACAGCTTGAATATAGCATGTACCCTTACTGGCTGCACAGGTAAGGTGGCTAAAATCGATCGCCCTACCAGTACCTCGACAACAGTATGGGTATATGCATACAAGTAAACAACACAGGTATAAGAGATATAGTCATTCACTCACAGATACATGTACAAAATACACTTACTATTAAAGTGTAACTTGGTGACAATTTATCCAAATATCAGGGTTAGTTAGTCAGAAATCTTTGAACTGTCTATAATCTTACAGAATGTCTTAGCTGCTTGACCAATTAATACAGCTGATATCCCCTTATTATATTGATGGATGTATCAAATGAAAACTTTCTAGAATCAGGAACATACAATAATCTCATTGTGAGTTATTTATGAACAGTTTTCTTGTGTATTGCAGTCTTGCATTTATATGGTGACCCAAAACAACTGATGAGTACTCTTCCTCGTCTGACGGGGGCCATCCGAGCCTTCTCTGGCCTTAGTGCATCGCCAACCAACATTCAACAAAGTGATCTGCAACAGAAGCGTCACCTGGTGGCAGAAAAACAGAGTAACAGTCAGTCATGGAATATGCTTTGTTCTCAGATCAGGAAGGAAGTGGATGCTTCAGGGTCTGACATAAAGGCGGCACTGAGAGACTTGTCTCAATGTGCCAGAAACATCGGTAATATCATATAATCATAGAAAGTATTTGAAACCAATTTTTTCAGGTTTAGAATAACCTGCTCATAAGACCACATATTCTTCTCTGTATAAACAGAACAACTGTTTAAAATTTAAAGAAGTTTTCATTTTCTTCCACAACAAGTATGCATGATATGTTTAGACATACTAAATATCTCTCAGAAACATATTTATGATGAATCCAGACAAACATTTCGTTATTGCATCATAATTATGTATATTTTTATGAGTATCTTTATGAAATTCTCTTGGTTTTCATTTTGTTTTTTGTGTTTAAAAGTATCAGGTTTCTTACTAGGATATAACATGGACCCTCGATAATTGAAACACCTTTGTTCGTGGCGAAAGTCGTTAGGGTTACAAGTTTTCTGGACTGCCAAATTTAGTAAACTTGCCAAGATAAATTGAGTTACCTCCCTTGGTATTAGTTTAGTTTATTACCAGTGCAGGATCGTTACGATCCTCTATACCGGTCTCAGTGATACAATGATAATGTTTATAATTATTGTCATTTGAGATGTCAGATCCAGGAACTACAGAATTTCTGCTTTATAATTATATACCAGTTCTTGATTTGCCCAGTGTTCGTCTAATCGATTTTTGAAAGAGTTAACTGTTGGTGCCGATACAATATACTCCGGAAGATTGTTCCATATTTTGACCACACACAAAGCAAAAAAATGTTTCCTGATGTCAAGTTTACAGTGCTGCATGTAAAGTTTTTTGGAGTGACCCCTTGTCCGCTGAATTTGAACTTTGTCGATCCACAATTTAAGGAAACCAGCAGCGTTGCTATCACAAAAATTGTTCATAATTTTAAAGACTTCAATCATATCCCCACGCATCCTCCTGAGTGCCAATGTTTGTAATTTTAGGCATTTCAGTCCCTCCGAATAAGTCAGTTCCTTAAATCCTGTTTTGTTGCTCTCCGTTGCACTGCCTCGATCATATCTATATGTTTGACTTTATATGGATGCCATACAGTAATAGAATGTTCCAGATGAACCCTAACCATTGTTTTGTACAATAATGGGAAGCTATGTTCATTGAGAAATTGAAACGTTCTCCTTATTAGTGCAAACATAGAGTTTGCTTTTTTGACCTGTGTACTGATGTGTTCATCAAATGATAAAGAATTTTCTACAATTACTACTATATCTTAGGTATTATAACCTACAGACAATGTAACTAATTCTAAAGAGTATTTATGTTCTACACACAGCATTTATTGCAAATACAGGTGTTTATTAATGTGTTACTAATGTGCGTTTTTAATTACAATACACATATTGTGTAAAATTACAGAAGTAAAAGTTGTTAATTCATTGAAGTCCATTTTCAATTTTCACAGACGATTTTCAAACATCTGCGAGAAAACATTAGCGATTATTTACTCAGAATGTTTGACAAAGTATACGTTCTGAAAACAATATGCACTGCATACTGATGAGTACAAATAACACTACGGAAATTTGTTCCCGATTTCGGATTTTTTGGCCTCCAGATTATTGAGGATTCACTGTAATTGATAATAATAAGTACATTTATATTGTATGTTGCAATATTACTATCTGTAACACTGTGTTTAGTTGGACAGGAGGCTTCTTTAGAGACTGTAGAAGGAGCAGCAGCCTTCCTGTTCAGCTTGTTTAAATGTGCGACCATGGACACAGTGAGCAGTAAAGAGGCAAACAAACTGAGGAACATCTTTGGACCATTTCCGGCTACAGCTGCTTCAAAAGCTTGTTCCATTGTCAGAAAAATAGTCTCCTGGATGCCTGAGGATGCAGAACTGTTGCTGGACAACCAGATGCGAGAGGAGGCTGAGGGAGAGGCTTCTGTCAAGGAATTTGGACAAAGTATAAAATTTTCATTTTTGATGTCATCAGTAGAATGTTTGTCAAGTTCAGAATCAGACAGTGATGAAGCGGATCATCGGGACCTAGATCTAAAATATTCTGACAGTAGACCGGCTCAGCACTCAAAGAAAGGAAACACACCACTGACGACCAGGTATTATTCTGTCACATTAGGTTACTGGTACAAGAAGCAGCTGCTTTGTAGTGATGGCAACTTTACTCTCTCACAAAAGATAACTGTAACCTTGGTTCATAAATTTCTTGAAGTCACTTATATTATGCTGTAATTTACTTCAAAGTGGTGAACCAAGTTCAAGTCCTGCAACCAAGGGTTATTCCAGTAAAGATATATTCCTTGGGATGAGAATGCTGTAGGTAATAGGAGTTTAATGTATGATTGGACATGGAGAAAATGCAGCTTACTATATTGTACTGTTTAGTAAGTAGATATTTCATTAGCCTTGTTGTAATAAGACCACAGTCCAACATCAAGTTATCAGGATACACAAAGCTTCATACTTATTTAAATATTTAGAAATTTTGTTTTGTCGTCTTTTGTTTGTTTAGCTCTTTAGAAGATATTGGAAACAGATATGGGAAGTTTTCTAAAATGTTGTCATCTGATTTTAAATATTTACCTTATTTTGACTAGCTCCCAATATGATGCTGGATGGCTACAGAGAGAGGTCAGTAAGTACTACCCTACTGGTGACTCAGCCTTGGGAATGACTACAGAGGACATCAGTTCTACAATTTTTGATGTTCTTATCTCCTCCAAGACAGACCCAGAATTGCAAAACGATGTAAGTTTTGAAAATCTCAGTTACTCCTTGTTCCAGCCAGACTCCTCTTCTGTGTTGATTTTTTTTGGTAATAATATAATATGAATATTTATATATAATGAAATTGAATGAATTCAAGGTGTAGGAAACCTTTCTTTATATTTTCAACAGTTGTTTGAACTCCTGGGATTTGATCGATTTGAGCTGATAGAAACTTTGCTTCAGAACAGGACAGGGGTCATACAAAGTTCTATGACCTCTGACCCCTCTGTCAGGCCTAATGGTGCACGTAAGTTTAAACACAAGATGAAAACCCAAAAATAAGAACCTTCCATCACAAGACTATGTAATGGTTTAACAGAATAGCCCTTACTCATTCCAGACCCTCCATTATGTAATGGTTTAACAGAATAGCCCTTACTCATTCCAGACCCTCCATTATGATAGTGTATACATGTACCTGAAAATCTTCTTATATATTTAATGTAAATTTATTTTCTAATATCTACAAGTTATTTCTTGCACTTCAAAAATTTGCAGAAAAAATTTCCAAAGCATTCTGCTTGATGAATGAATTGTTTTGAATATGACAGAAAAAAATGTATGCTTTGGCTTTAAATGCATTTTTCAAAATTCATCACAGATTTAGAGTTACAATTTTAATTCATTGACATTGAAGATAAAAAAAATGCTAGAATGCTTTTTCACTCCTAGGAAGAAAAGGTGATGGTGGAAACAAGCCTGCTTATGGTTGTCAGGTCATTGTCCAGGTGAGTGTTATCTCTCTTTGTTCATAGGGAAACTGTCAGCTGATTAAAGATATTGTTGACTATTTTCAAACATTTCCAAAGATCACTTTTTCTCTTTTGACAAAGTTACAACAATCAGATCATGTAAGTCCTCAAATTAGGTGACTGCTTTGTTGAGGTTCATGTTCACACTTCCAGACTGAACAAGAGAGGAAGCTGATGAAACAGCTGAGGAAGGATGAGAAACGTTTTGATAAGAAGGGAGGTTGGCAGGAGGAAGAAGGAGATATTGCAAGCTTTAATCCTCAGGAGCTGCGCAGTCAAAGGTCAGGATAAATCCATGTTTAAATAAAACTTTTTCATTTGCTTGACAATTGCAACCCCAGATGTTTTTTTTTATAATAATGTTGAATATGAACATAAAAATTTGAAATTCTAAATGTAAAAAACGCTGTATGATGATTTTAATTTCTTGATTTTTGATGTTGTGAGTGTAACCTCTTAGCACACTTCGATTGTTTTTGAAAATATTTCTGTTTGGTATTATGATTAGAGAGGCAGCACTGAAGTCAGCAGTGATGGCGCCACTATTTTCTGACCGGTCCTTCCAGCCTCGTGCCAGGGAGAAATATCCAAATGTATATGACTCTATGGAGGAGGCCCGGCAATCCTCAGCTTATGTGGGAGGGACCAAGGTATGTTCTTGGAACTCTCTGTAATGATTTTCATATGAAATACTTGTACCTATGTGATATTACCACACATAGGATATTTTAGATGATGAATAAATTTGCCGTGATAGTTAAAATATTGTGATGTGAGCATTTTATGAATAAAAAACCACAGTTAGTATTCATTTGTTTCAGGTGAGTAAAGTCATCCATAATTGAGTTAGAAAATGTGTTAAACTGGTATATGTTTAGTTATAAATCATATTGAAGTTCTCTTTTATTAAGTTAGAATAAACTTCCAACTCATTTGTTTGATTTAGAATGAGGGATAAAAGAGATATTCAATGCAATTGTTTGAGTTATAATTGAGTCAGAGTAGAAATCCAACTCATTTCTGTTCGAGTTAGGAGGGATGTTGAGCTCATTTGTAAGAGTTATGAGGGATATTCAACACATTTGTTTAAGGTGGATATTTAACTCATCTGTTTGAGTTCAGAATGATATTCAACTTGTTTGTGTAAAAAGTATATTCAAGCTGACATGTTTGAGTTAGAAGATATATGCATTTAATCTGTTGAATCAAAAGGGGTATCTTAAGAAGGATATTAACCCATCTGTTTGAGTTAATCGCATATACAACCCGTCTGTTTGAGTTATGAGGATCTACAACCCATCTGTTTGAGTTAAGAGGATATACAACCCATCTGTTTGAGTTAAGAGGATATACAACCCATCTGTTTGAGTTAAGAGGATATACAACCCATCTGTTTGAGTTAAGAGGATATACAACCCATCTGTTTGAGTTAAGAGGATATACAACCCATCTGTTTGAGTTAAGAGGATATACAACCCATCTGTTTGAGTTAAGAGGATAAACAACCCATCTGTTTGAGTTAAGAGGATATACAACCCATCTGTTTGAGTTAAGAGGATATACAACCCATCTGTTTGAGTTAAGAGGATATACAACCCATCTGTTTGAGTTAAGAGGATATACAACCCATCTGTTTGAGTTAAGAGGATATACAACCCATCTGTTTGAGTTAAGAGGATATATACCCCATCTGTTTGAGTTAAGAGGATATACAACCCATCTGTTTGAGTTAAGAGGATATACAACCCATCTGTTTGAGTTAAGAGGATATACACCCCATCTGTTGGAGTTATGAGGATATACAACCCATCTGTTTGAGTTAAGAGGATATACAACCCATCTGTTTGAGTTAAGAGGATATACAACCCATCTGTTTGAGTTAAGAGGATATACAACCCATCTGTTTGAGTTAAGAGGATATACAACCCATCTGTTTGAGTTAAGAGGATATACAACCCATCTGTTTGAGTTAAGAGGATATACAACCCATCTGTTTGAGTTAAGAGGATATACAACCCATCTGTTTGAGTTAAGAGGATATACACCCCATCTGTTTGAGTTAAGAGGATATACAACCCATCTGTTTGAGTTATGAGGATATACAACCCATCTGTTTGAGTTAAGAGGATATACAACCCATCTGTTTGAGTTAAGAGGATATACAACCCATCTGTTTGAGTTAAGAGGATATACAACCCATCTGTTTGAGTTAAGAGGATATACACCCCATCTGTTTGAGTTAAGAGGATATACAACCCATCTGTTTGAGTTAAGAGGATATACAACCCATCTGTTTGGGGCAGGTGGGATATCCACTGCATTTCTTTGAGTTAAAATGATATTTAACTCATTTGTTTTCGGTTGGACTAAAGGGGATATCAAGTTTAGTTACATTTGAATTGGAAGAAATAATCAACATTTTTGAGTTTGTATGATGTACATTTATGTTCAATTCACCTGAGTTGCTTCTAACAAGTGGAAATTTTAGAGAAGACAATAGATTATATGTTGACTGATCAGCTGATAAGACTGTACTATATGAGAGACTGATAAACATGTATGTGAATTTATTTTTTTACAAATTAGTTGGTACTTCCCGATTCCTTCAAACGGACAACACATAAACTTTATGAGGAGGTCTACATTCCTCACACGGAGGCTACATCTCTTACTGTAGGAGAAAGGAGAGTTCCTATTGCAAGTCTTGATGAGGTCTGTTATTCATATTTTATTTCCAACTCAAACTCATGTGCTATGTAGTTTTTTGAGTGCTATATTTTATGCTTTTAAAAAAGTGTCATAGTGATTGTTCTTAAGTACGCTGAGCTCATTTATTATATGTTTATCATGAAAAAGGCTAAATTCTTTCAATTATGATGTTAGAATATAGGTATATGCTGATTAAACACTTTCAATCATTATATTTTACTGTGAACTATTACACTTATTGATATATAGTAAGATATATGTATAAAAAATCAGAAATGTTTGTGTAGAAGCTTATTGAACAATATTGTAACAATAAATCTTAATCCACCACAGATTGGCCAGATGGCATTCAAAGGAACAACATCCCTCAATCGCATCCAATCAATAGTGTTTGAGGCGGCCTACAAGACGAATGAGAACCTGTTAATCTGTGCCCCTACAGGTGCTGGTAAAACTAACATTGCCATGTTAACCATCCTTCATGAACTTAAACAGCACATCTCACAAGGTGTTATCAAAAAGGATGAATTCAAGGTCAGTATACTTATAGCACATCTCACAAGAAGTTATCAAAAAGGATTATTTTTATAATACAGATAGTGTGTGCCCCCTATATCATACAGATATATGATATAAAAAGTGAATGTTTACCCAAAATGATACAGGTAGTGTATGTATCCCCTATAAGATACAGAAAGTGTATGTATCCCCTGTATGATACAGAAAGTGTATGTATCCCCTATATGATACAGATAGTGTATGTATCCCCTATATGATACAGACAGTGTATGTATCCCCTATATGATACAGATAGTGTATGTATCCCCTATATGATACAGAAAGTGTATGTATCCCCTGTATGATACAGATAGTGTATGTATCCCCTATATGATACAGGTAGTGTATGTATCCCCTATATGATACAGGTAGTGTATGTATCCCCTGTATGATACAGAAAGTGTATGTTTCCCCTATATGATACAGATAGTGTATATATCCCCTGTATGATACAGATAGTGTATGTATCCCCTATATGATACAGGTAGTGTATGTATCCCCTATAAGATACAGATAGTGTATGTATCCCCTGTATGATATAGATAGTATGTATCCCCTATATGATACAGATAGTGTATGTATCCCCTATATGATACAGATAGTGTATGTATCCCCTATATGATACAGAAAGTGTATGTATCCCCTATATGATACAGATAGTGTATGTATCCCCTATATGATACAGGTAGTGTATGTATCCCCTATATGATACAGGTAGTGTATGTATCCCCTACATGATACAGGTAGTGTATGTATCCCCTGTATGATACAGAAAGTGTATGTTTCCCCTATATGATACAGATAGTGTATATATCCCCTGTATGATACAGATAGTGTATGTATCCCCAATATCATACAGTGTATGCATCCCCTGTATGATATAGATAGTATATGTTTCCCCTATATGATACAGATAGTGTATGTATCCCCAGTATGATACAGAAAGTGTATGTATCCCCTATATGATACAGATAGTATGTGCCCCCTATATGATACAGATAGTATGTGCCCCCTATGTCTTATAGATAGTGAATGTATCCCTGATATGATATAAAAAGTGTATGTATCCCTTGTATGATACAGATAGTGTATGTAGCCCCGATGAAGGCACTGGCTGCTGAGATGGTGCGAAACTTTGGGAATCGCCTTGAATCCTTGGGGATCGCTGTGCGAGAACTTACAGGAGACATGCAGCTGACAAAGGCAGAGATACTCAAAACACAGGTATAGTATCTACTGAAAATGTATTAAATGTATATGAAAAGTCAAATAATACCTGTATTTCTCGTACGTTGAACAGGATTTTCCTATTTTGAGTTTCCTTTATTCTCCAATCCTGCATAGAATTTCTTGTACTAGATGTAGCACTGTATGATGATAATTTTGTCAACTATTCATACTTGATAAGCCATTAATTTCAAGTGATTTTTTCGTTGTGACTTTGATAAATCACCAGATATGTCTTTTGTATGAAAAATAAATGTGTTACAAGTGTGTGTTAGCATATGAAACCATAAACAGGTACATTGCCTGTATGCCTGCTTACCTGTATACCTGTAATATACCTGTATTATCTCCATTTTTTTTATTGTGAAAGGAAGACTTATAACACAGTGTTTAAATTTGTATGACTGGGATCCAACCATAAAATATGATGAATTTTTATCCAGGAAAAACATGATAAAAGGTGATGGGTATTAAGACCTTTTGTTATGCTATAATCTTTTTCAAGTTGTATTTGACCTTGACCTTTTGTTGCTGTAGATGTTAGTGACGACCCCAGAGAAGTGGGATGTGGTTACAAGGAAGAGCACAGGAGATGTGGCCCTGGCCCAGCTTGTCAAATTACTCATCATTGACGAGGTGCACCTTCTTCATGATGACCGAGGGGCTGTCATAGAAAGCCTGGTTGCTCGGACAATTCGCCAGGTGAACACATTGAAATATATTTACAAAGATACAAGACAGAATCATTAAATGAACACATATTATTTTTACTTTTTTATGCAATTAATGAGAAGAAAATACTGTATTTTGAACTAGTATTTCAGTATTGTGTATCAATTTTGATCTCTCATGTTTCAAGATTGACCCAAACTTTGATATAGACTGGACACTTCCAAAGTTATGCTGATTTACAAGATAATCACATTCATTTGTTTTTGTTATATAACTGGTCTGTCGCATGTGTAATAACATTATTGTGCTGTCATAAATAAACTGTCATGATGCCACATGATTTTATTAGCATTGAAAAACGTGCTGTTCGTGTTAAAATAGATTCATCTTGCATGGAAATTAATCGGAGTTTTACTTTTTAGAGAAATATAGTTTGTTTGACCCATAGAATCGTACGTTCATGCCAATATAATATGGATTTAAGTCAATGGCATAAAATAAATTCCATATTACATTGATACCTACATAAGATCCTCTCTATATATGATGGAAATAGTATATAGGAATACATGTTTTATTTACCTCCTTTTGGACAGGTGGAGAGTTCCCAGAACATGATCCGTATCATTGGTCTATCTGCTACCTTACCTAACTACCTAGATGTGGCTCGCTTTCTCCATGTCAACCCATATCTAGGTCTCTTCTTCTTTGATGGTCGCTTCAGACCTGTGCCTCTTGGACAAACCTTCATTGGTGAGGAATGTTTTAGTATTGTTTAGTTGAGATGTGATATTTATTTTAATATAAGATAAAATTGTAGCTTATCCTTTTTAAACGTGAATAACTAGATGGAGTTACCATTTTCTGAGTAATAGTATTGTGACTTGTTGACACATACATGACCCATGTCTTATTTGTGTTTAGGAATAAAGTCGACCAACAAGATGCAACAGATACAGGACATGAATACAGTCTGTTATGAAAAAGTCCTGGAACAAGTCAAAAAGGGCTATCAGGTATGTTTAGAAGAAATGATCAAACTCTGATATAATCTGTTTCGACTAGTGTTAAAGCAGATGGACAAAAAAGTAATACAGTAAAACTGAAATGTGTGTATTTTCTTTGTAGACAATGGTTTTTGTCCATGCACGTAATGATACAGTCAGGACAGCAAGCGTCCTTAATGAAATGGCCAAAAATAATGGAGACAGTGGATTCTTTGTACCAGACCACAGTATCCAGTATGGGGATGCCCTCAAAAGTGTAAGTATGAGAGTATCCAGTATGAGGATGCCCTCAAAAGTGTAAGTATGAGAGTATCCAGTAAGGGGATGCCCTCAAAAGTGTAAGTATGAGAGTATCCAGTATGGGGATGCCCTCAAAAGTGTAAGTATGAGAGTATCCAGTATTGGAATGCCCTCAAAAGTGAAAGTTTGAGAGTACCCAGTATGGGGATACCCTAAAAAAATTAAATGTTAGAGTATCCAGCTTAGGGATGCCATCTTGCAATATGAAAAGCCCTCAAAGCACAAGTTTTGTATTGATCACAATATCAGTAGGTGACACCCTAAAAAGTATAGGTTTCAGATGGCAGTATCTAGAACATTCACACGTATGTCGTACACTAAACAAATATGTATAATTCTCTCCTGTTTTGTCCAGATGATGAGGTCAAGAAACAAGCAGTTGAAGGAACTTTTCCCAGATGGGTTTGGATGTCACCATGCTGGCATGCTTCGACAAGATCGTAACCTGGTGGAGCGTTATTTTGCACAAGGCTTCATCAAGTGCCTTGTGTGTACTGCAACCCTGGCCTGGGGAGTCAACCTCCCTGCTCATGCTGTCATCATAAAGGTGGGTCAAAGAGCACAGACATCAGAAATCTTATTTATAGTAAATAATGCTATTTTTGAGGGGTTTTATGAGGATGGTATAAAACTGCAAAAACTAGATACATGAATTATCAATGAACAATTTTCATTGAGCGGTCAAAAAACAGCAACCTTTACAGTATTCACTGAACCATAAAAAACAACCTTTACAGTATTCATTGAACCATAAAAACAAACTTTACAGTATTCACTGAACCATGAAAAACAACCTTTACAGTATTCATTGAACCATAAAAAAACCTTTCCAGTATTCATTGAACCATTAAAAACAACCTTTCCAGTATTCACTGAACCATGAAAAACAACCTTTACAGTATTCACTGAACCATAAAAAACAACCTTTACAGTATTCATTGAACCATAAAAAACAACCTTTACAGTATTCACTGAACCATGAAAAACAACCTTTACAGTATTCATTGAACCATAAAAAACAACCTTTACAGTATTCATTGAACCATAAAAAACAACCTTCATTGAACAATGAAAAACAACCTTTACAGTATTCACTGAACCATGAAAAACAACCTTTCCAGTATTCACTGAACCATGAAAAACAACCTTTCCAGTATTCACTGAACCATGAAAAACAACCTTTCCAGTATTCACTGAACCATAAAAAACAACCTTTACAGTATTTCATTGAACCATCAAGAATCCTTTACATTATTTGTGGAATCATCAGAAAACTACCTTTGCAGTATTGTATATGCTGACTTAAAAATTTCAAGAAATAAATATAAAACCAAAAGTCTGGGAAAGGATAGCAAAGAATTTCACTGAAAAATTCAGGAAAGGTAAGTACAGGTCTCTGCAAAATAAGTCAAGGTAAGGTACTTACAAGTATAATGTGTTGTAAGTTTGTGAGATATAAAGATGAAGTTAAGATATATTTGTTAACGATGAAACTTATGTATAATACCTGCCAGCATTCACTGAATTATATGTAGTTTTTGGACGATTGGCAATTGTATGTAGGTTTCAGTGTCCTGGTAAATGAAATCAATATTATTTATAGAAAATAATTCACTTTATCAAAGTAGATACCAATTGATTTTATATCGAAACTGTGTTATTTCTATTGAAGGGTACCCAACTTTATGATGCTAAGAAAGGGTCATTTGTGGATCTTGGTATACTGGACGTAATGCAGATTTTTGGTAGAGCTGGACGCCCTCAGTTTGACAAGTTTGGACATGGAACCATTATTACATCACATGATAAACTGTCTCATTATCTGTCACTGATGACCAGACAGAACCCTATAGAGAGTCAGTTCTGTGTCAGTCTAACAGACAATCTGAACGCAGAGGTGGGTAGTAACAGGGGAGAGTGGGAAGGGAGTCATACCTCACATTCTCACCTACAACCTTAAAACAGATATGGATAGGAACAGGGGGTGGGGATGGGATGTTGGATGGGAGGGCGGTGGGGGTGCCTGCATACTTCATATTGTATCAATGTTTCATTTTCATGCTAAAGTGGGTGTTATGGGATTTGCCAAAAGATGACCTGCTGTTATTCCATTGAAACAACATAAGTATGGTTAATTGATCTTAAAAATATGTCCCTAATTATATCTGATAGCATGGTGTGATCCATTGTCCATGTTAAGTGTGTGGTAAGGTTCTGTGATGCACAGTTGATAGCTTCAACAAGGATTACAAGAGTCTGGCTGTTTTTGGCTGTAGAAAATGATGGGCTATAGATTGGATCATTGTAGAGGTCTAAAGCCATTAAACTAAAATCTGATTGGATCATTAGAAGTCTAAAGCTGTTATACTAAAATCTGATTGGATCATTAGAAGTCTATAGCCATTATACTAAAATCTGATTGGATCATTAGAAGTCTAAAGCCATTAAACTAAAATCTGATTGGATCATTAGAAGTCTAAAGCCATTAAACTAAAATCTGATTGGATCATTAGAAGTCTAAAGCTGTTATACTAAAATCTGATTGGATCATTAGAAGTCTAAAGCTATTATTCTAAAATCTGATTGGATCATTAGAAGTCTAAAGCAATTATACTAAAATCTGATTGGATCATTAGAAGTCTAAAGCAATTATACTAAAATCTGATTGGATCATTAGAAGTCTAAAGCCAAGATACTAAAATCTGATTGGATCATTAGAAGTCTATAGCCATTATACTATAATCTGATTGAATCTTCGAAGTCTAAAGCCATTATACTATAATCTGATTGAATCTTCGAAGTCTAAAGCCATTATACTATAATCTGATTGAATCTTCGAAGTCTAAAGCCATTATACTATAATCTGATTGAATTTTCGAAGTCTAAAGCCATTATACTATAATCTGATTGAATTTTCGAAGTCTAAAGCCATTATACTATAATCTGATTGAATCTTCGAAGTCTAAAGCCATTATACTAAAATCTGATTGGATCTTTAGAAGTCTTAATCCATTTTACTATAATCTGATTGGATCTGTTGAAGTCTAAAGCCGTTATACTAAAATCTGATTGGATCTTTAGAAGTCTTAATCCATTTTACTATAATCTGATTGGATCTGTTGAAGTCTAAAGCCATTATACTAAAATCTGATTGGATCTTTAGAAGTCTTAATCCATTTTACTATAATCTGATTGGATCTGTTGAAGTCTAAAGCCGTTATACTAAAATCTGATTGGATCTTTAGAAGTCTTAATCCATTTTACTATAATCTGATTGGATCTGTTGAAGTCTAAAGCCGTTATACTAAAATCTGGTATAAACTACAAAAGTGTGATTTGAGTTTATTTCATCAGTATTGACTTGTTTTTTTGTGTGTCATTTAGATTGCCTTGGGAACTGTGACCAATGTAGAGGAAGCAGTTAAGTGGCTCAGCTACACATACCTGTATGTACGGATGAAGTGTAACCCTCTGGTATATGGTATTAACTACAACACAATTGAGGTAGGTATGAAAGTGTAGATTGAATGGAATTTTCTATTCTTTACTTTTCTTGAAATGTCAATATTCTGGTAACTGCTAAGAAATAAAATTGATATGTTGCCATTGTATTTTGACTTCATAATCAACTAGAGTAAGTTTTTGTTGCCCTCCAATGAAACTTTTCATTATGCTGGGTGTTAAGTTCCCTGTAAAATATGTCAGAATATGTCTTCCAGGTTAAACGAAGCTCTCCTTTTACTTTTGCAATGCTATGAAGAAAACAAAAATTCAAAAGTTAAACTGTGATGAATGTTTTTACTTATCAAGTAGGTATATAAAAGTTTGATGTTTATTGTGAAACATTTTGTTTATATCCAAACTCTTATAATTTGACTTTCCAAGTAAGGTGATTCTTTTTATAACATCACCATAGTTATACTTCAGATTTATTCATTTTTTTTCCTTTTTTGTTGTCAGTCTGATCCCATGTTGGAGACACATCGTCGTGACCTCATTACGGATGCAGGGAGAAAGCTGGATAAGGCTCGGATGATTAGATTTGATGAGAGAACAAGCTACTTCTCATCAACTGACTTAGGCAGGATAGCAAGTCACTTCTACATCAAATATGATACAGTGGAGGTAAGTGTCTGAATTACAAAGCAGAAGATGGAGGTTAGGGATCTTAATTTCTCTTAACAAATACGGATGTATTCTCAAAGTTAGCATGGTGAATTTCCTTTTCTTACCCAGGGGTTGGAGGAAGGGATGCTGGGAGGGGAGATCCCCTTTTATGACAGTATGATGTTACATTGACAATGCAAATAGAGGGTGAAAGATTCTTTAAGTCAGTGTAATGGAAATGCTTATCACTTTATCTAGATGTCTGTTTGGGAATTTGATTTTGAATTTTGATGGGTAAAGATTATGGTATTGGAGAGAGCGTATGATGGGTGAAGGAGTGAATGTTAACTACTATTTGTATTATTCTATAGATACTTAGTCTGATATTACTGTTTTGTATCAAGATGATATAGAAGAAAAATAAATGTAGATACAACATCTTAGCTACAACATAAAATGAGTGCTTTATCTTTTGTTGGGTAGGTAATCAACGAGAACCTGAAATCATTGATGACAGAAGCAGATGTATTTGCCATGGTCTCAAAGTCCCAGGAGTTTGACCAGATAAAGGTTAGTGTGTACCTGTGTTCTAACGGAATATTACACCTGTCCATTTAAGTACAGGAGTTTGACCAGATAAAGGTTAGTGTGTACCTGTGTTCTAACGGAATATTACACCTGTCCATTTAAGTACAGGAGTTTGACCAGATAAAGGTTAGTGTGTACCTGTGTTCTAACGGAATATTACACCTGTCCATTTAAGTACAGGAGTTTGACCAGATAAAGGTTAGTGTGTACCTGTGTTCTAACGGAATATTACACCTGTCCATTTTACAGGAGTTTGACCAGATAAAGGTTAGTGTGTACCTGTGTTCTAACGGAATATTACACCTGTCCATTTAAGTACAGGAGTTTGACCAGATAAAGGTTAGTGTGTACCTGTGTTCTAACGGAATATTACACCTGTCCATTTAAGTACAGGAGTTTGACCAGATAAAGGTTAGTGTGTACCTGTGTTCTAACGGAATATTACACCTGTCCATTTAAGTACAGGAGTTTGACCAGATAAAGGTTAGTGTGTACCTGTGTTCTAACGGAATATTACACCTGTCCATTTAAGTACAGGAGTTTGACCAGATAAAGGTTAGTGTGTACCTGTGTTCTAACGGAATATTACACCTGTCCATTTAAGTACAGGAGTTTGACCAGATAAAGGTTAGTGTGTACCTGTGTTCTAACGGAATATTACACTTGTCCACTTAAGTCCTAGGAGTTTGACCAGATAAAGATTAGTGTGTACCTGTGTTCTAACAGAATATTACACTTGTCCACTTAAGTCCTTGGAGTTTGACCAGATAAAGATTAGTGTGTACCTGTGTTCTAATAGAATATTACATCTGTCCATTTAAGTACAGGAGTTTGACCAGATGAAGATTAGTGTGTACCTGTGTTCTAATGGAATATTTCATCTGTCCATTTAAGTACAGGAGTTTGACCAAATAAAGGTTAAATTGTACCTGTTGTTTAGTGAAATGTTTCACCGATGTATTTAAAGTCCGGGGACAAAATAAAGGTTAAATTGTACCTGTTGTTTAGTGAAATGTTTCACCGATGTATTTAAAGTCCGGGGACAAAATAAAGGTTAAATTGTACCTGTTGTTTAGTGAAATGTTTCACCGATGTATTTAAAGTCCGGGGACAAAATAAAGGTTGAATGGTACCTGTTGTTTAGTGAAATGTTTCACCGATGTATTTAAAGTCCGGGGACAAAATAAAGGTTAAATTGTACCTGTTGTTTAGTGAAATGTTTCACCGATGTATTTAAAGTCCGGGGACAAAATAAAGGTTGAATGGTACCTGTTGTTTAGTGAAATGTTTCACCGATGTATTTAAAGTCCGGGGACAAAATAAAGGTTAAATTTTACCTGTTGTTTAGTGAAATGTTTCACCGATGTATTTAAAGTCTGGGGACAAAATAAAGGTTGGATTGTACCTGTGATCTAAAGAAATGTTATACCTGTATACAACTTGGATGTTTGTCTGACAGGTACGAGAGGATGAGATGAATGAACTGGACAACCTTCTGAGTGATACCTGTGTGATGCAGGTACAGGGAGGTGTAGAGAATACATACGGCAAGGTCAACATCCTCATGCAGGTGTATGTGTCGCGTATGAATATCGAGAGTTTCTCCCTTGTCTCCGACCAGGCTTATGTAGCTCAGGTAATTGTAACAACCAGCACAGATTTCTGCTCCAGTCTGATTTTTATGACTTGTCAAATTGGAGATTATTTGAAAATGGCTAAATTATCAGGAATTGAAAGTAAACCACATAGAAAGTAAACCACTTGTTTTTTCTTGTCTATCCATAGAATCATTTTAGCCAAATATAGGTGTTTGAATATCCATCAAGAGACCTTTTCATGTCAAACATTCTGCATCATAAATTCAAAGAAACATTTTTTTTATGCTTTAGAATGCAGCACGTATTGTACGGGCTTTGTTTGAGGTGTGTTTGAAGAATGGTTGGCCTGTGATGGCAAGCAGGCTACTAAATCTCTGCAAAACCCTGGACAAGCGACTTTGGGGGTTCGAGCATCCTCTTAGGCAGTTTCCAAACCTCACCAGAGAAATTCTTGAAAAGCTGGAGGGCCGCAAGCTTAGCGTGGATAGACTCAGAGATATGGATCCTGTGTTGATATAGATTTTTTGTTTTACTGGAATAGTATTAAACAAAACCTGTAGTCCTGTCTTTGATAAATGTTTTACTGGAATAGTCTTAAACAAAACCTGTAGTCCTGTGTTGATATAGATGTTTTACTGGAATAGTCTTAAACAAAACCTGTAGTCCTGTGTTGATATAGATGTTTTACTGGAATAGTCTTAAACAAAACCTGTAGTCCTGTGTTGATATAGATGTTTTACTGGAATAGTCTTAAACAAAACCTGTAGTCCTGTGTTGATATAGATGTTTTACTGGAATAGTCTTAAACAAAACCTGTAGTCCTGTGTTGATATAGATGTTTTACTGGAATAGTCTTAAACAAAACCTGTAGTCCTGTGTTGATATAGATGTTTTACTGGAATAGTCTTAAACAAAACCTGTAGTCCTGTGTTGATATAGATGTTTTACTGGAATAGTCTTAAACAAAACCTGTAGTCCTGTGGGGATATAGATGTTTTACTGGAATAGTCTTAAACAAAACCTGTAGTCCTGTGGGTATATAGATGTTTTACTGGAATAGTCTTAAACAAAACCTGTAGTCCTGTGTTGATATAGATGTTTTACTGGAATAGTCTTAAACAAAACCTGTAGTCCTGTGTTGATATAGATGTTTTACTGGAATAGTCTTAAACAAAACCTGTAGTCCTGTGTTGATATAGAAGTTTTACTGGAATAGTCTTAAACAAAACCTGTAGTCCTGTGTTGATATAGATGTTTTACTGGAATAGTCTTAAACAAAACCTGTAGTCCTGTGTTGATATAGATGTTTTACTGGAATAGTCTTAAACAAAACCTGTAGTCCTGTGTTGATATAGATGTTTTACTGGAATAGTCTTAAACAAAACCTGTAGTCCTGTGTGTTGGAATATAAACAAAATAGAAGTTTTACTGTAGTCTTAAACAAAACCTGTAGTCCTGTGTTGATATAGATGTTTTACTGGAATAGTCTTAAACAAAACCTGTAGTCCTGTGTTGATATAGATGTTTTACTGGAATAGTCTTAAACAAAACCTGTAGTCCTGTGTTGATATAGATGTTTTACTGGAATATAGTCTTAAACAAAACCTGTAGTCCTGTGTTGATATAGATGTTTTACTGGAATAGTCTTGTGATATAGATGTTTTACTGGAATAGTCTTAAACAAAACCTGTAGTCCTGTGTTGATATAGATGTTTTACTGGAATAGTCTTAAACAAAACCTGTAGTCCTGTGTTGATATAGATGTTTTACTGGAATAGTCTTAAACAAAACCTGTAGTCCTGTGTTGATATAGATGTTTTACTGGAATAGTCTTAAACAAAACCTGTAGTCCTGTGTTGATATAGATGTTTTACTGGAATAGTCTTAAACAAAACCTGTAGTCCTGTGTTGATATAGATGTTTTACTGGAATAGTCTTAAACAAAACCTGTAGTCCTGTGTTGATATAGATGTTTTACTGGAATAGTCTTAAACAAAACCTGTAGTCCTGTGTTGATATAGATGTTTTACTGGAATAGTCTTAAACAAAACCTGTAGTCCTGTGTTGATATAGATGTTTTACTGGAATAGTCTTAAACAAAACCTGTAGTCCTGTGTTGATATAGATGTTTTACTGGAATAGTCTTAAACAAAACCTGTAGTCCTGTGTTGATATAGATGTTTTACTGGAATAGTCTTAAACAAAACCTGATATAGTCCTGTGTTGATATAGATGTTTTACTGGAACAGTCTTAAACAAAACCTGTAGTCCTGTGTTGATATAGATGTTTTACTGGAATAGTCTTAAACAAAACCTGTAGTCCTGTGTTGATATAGATGTTTTACTGGAATAGTCTTAAACAAAACCTGTAGTCCTGTGTTGATATAGATGTTTTACTGGAATAGTCTTAAACAAAACCTGTAGTCCTGTGTGGAATAGTCTTAAACAAAACCTGTAGTCCTGTGTTGATATAGATGTTTTACTGGAATATAAACAAAATAGTCCTGTGTTGATATAGATGTTTTACTGGAATAGTCTTAAACAAAACCTGTAGTCTTGTGTTGATATAGATGTTTTACTGGAATAGTCTTAAACAAAACCTGTAGTCCTGTGTTGATATAGAAGTTTTACTGGAATAGTCTTAAACAAAACCTGTAGTCCTGTGTTGATATAGATGTTTTACTGGAATAGTCTTAAACAAAACCTGTAGTCCTGTGGGGATATAGATGTTTTACTGGAATAGTCTTAAACAAAACCTGTAGTCCTGTGTTGATATAGATGTTTTACTGGAATAGTCTTAAACAAAACCTGTAGTCCTGTGTTGATATAGATGTTTTACTGGAATAGTCTTAAACAAAACCTGTAGTCCTGTGTTGATATAGATGTTTTACTGGAATAGTCTTAAACAAAACCTGTAGTCCTGTGTTGATATAGATGTTTTACTGGAATAGTCTTAAACAAAACCTGTAGTCCTGTGTTGATATAGATGTTTTACTGGAATAGTCTTAAACAAAACCTGTAGTCCTGTGTTGATATAGATGTTTTACTGGAATAGTCTTAAACAAAACAAAACCTGTAGTCCTGTGTTGATATAGATGTTTTACTGGAATAGTCTTAAACAAAACCTGTAGTCCTGTGTTGATATAGATGTTTTACTGGAATAGTCTTAAACAAAACCTGTAGTCCTGTGGGTATATAGAGGTTTTACTGGAATAGTCTTAAACAAAACCTGTAGTCCTGTGTTGATATAGATGTTTTACTGGAATAGTCTTAAACAAAACCTGTAGTCCTGTGTTGATATAGATGTTTTACTGGAATAGTCTTAAACAAAACCTGTAGTCTTGTGTTGATATAGATGTTTTACTGGAATAGTCTTAAACAAAACCTGTAGTCTTGTGTTGATATAGATGTTTTACTGGAATAGTCTTAAACAAAACCTGTAGTCCTGTGGGTATATAGAGGTTTTACTGGAATAGTCTTAAACAAAACCTGTAGTCCTGTGGGGATATAGAAGTTTTACTGGAATAGTCTTAAACAAAACCTGTAGTCCTGTGTTGATATAGAAGTTTTACTGGAATAGTCTTAAACAAAACCTGTAGTCCTGTGTTGATATAGATGTTTTACTGGAATAGTCTTAAACAAAACCTGTAGTCCTGTGTTGATATATATGTTTTACTGGAATAGTCTTAAACAAAACCTGTAGTCCTGTGTTGATATAGATGTTTTACTGGAATAGTCTTAAACAAAACCTGTAGTCCTGTGTTGATATAGATGTTTTACTGGAATAGTCTTAAACAAAACCTGTAGTCCTGTGTTGATATAGATGTTTTACTGGAATAGCCTTAAACAAAACCTGTAGTCCTGTGTTGATATAGATGTTTTACTGGAATAGTCTTAAACAAAACCTGTAGTCCTGTGTTGATATAGATGTTTTACTGGAATAGTCTTAAACAAAACCTGTAGTCCTGTGTTGATATAGATGTTTTACTGGAATAGTCTTAAACAAAACCTGTAGTCCTGTGTTGATATAGATGTTTTACTGGAATAGTCTTAAACAAAACCTGTAGTCTTGTGTTGATATAGATGTTTTACTGAAATAGGCCTGATATGTGTTATTATAATTACACAGTAGACTCTTGACTATGTGATACAATTTTTGATATTAAAAAATTGATCTAATTACTCCTGATCAAAGCCTCATCTGTTGGCATTATATACTCCATTAAGGTGTCTTACAGTAAGTTAGAAACAGTGGCTGTGTTGACTTTTTGTAGTTACAGTGTTTGAATGGATCACAAAATTAAAATGCAAACAATATACTGATGTCAAACAATACATGGCTGAATTGCTGTTAGGTAGTGTAATATGTGGCAGACAAGTGACAAAATTTTGTATACATATTAGAAAAGTACCTTAGTTGTGCCTTATGCTATTAGCAAGATTTTGTTTCTGATATTTTTGCTCTGTAACCATGGAAACAAACTTAGAAATTCAAAATTTACTGTTTGCAATTAAGCTTATTTCAGGCTACACATTGAACAATGAAAGACACAAGAGAATCTACTTCAAGTAATTGTCTGTTTGGATATTCCTAGTAACAGCTGGATGCAGGGAATAATACTTTGTGTTTCCTTGTTTATGATTGTTCATGGGGAATACAAAACATAAAAAATTTTGTCAGTTTATTGATTAACCTGTCTTAGGAATGCATGAGAACCCATAGGGAATAAAAGTCTTTTAAAGACTTTGGCCTTTTGTTGACTATGTGTCACTTTGTCGAGGGTATATGTCATTTACTCATTTACAACTTTTCAGAGTGTTGCATACTGAATCGTGAGTTATACACACCACTATATGCAGAGCTATCACCTTTGTTTTTACTTGGATAACATTAAAAGTTTTACACTTGAGATTTCTTGCGATACTATTTTTAATTTTCTATAGGTCACATGGTGCACCACGTACGTATGGGACCTATCATCAAAAAGTGTGTCAACCAGATTCCTGCCTTAGATTTGGATGCCACCATACAACCAATCACACGCACTGTACTCAGAGTGAGGCTGACCATTGACCCAGTCTTTCAGTGGGATGACAAGGTTGGTATATTTGTTAAATTTTTGGAGTGTAAGAGTTTGGGTGGTCAGCCCTACTCTTACACGAGGGTTGAGATATCCCTGTGCATGGAACAGATCCATTTTTTATTGCATTTTTTATTTTTCTCTCATATTAAAGAGTTGAAATTGTAACTTTTTTCCCTTCCATAAAACAGAATCCACCTGTAAAGTATGGGAGAATAGATTTTCCAGAATATAGTGTAAAAACATTGTATTGTAGTAACCTTACTTAAATTTTGATTGTGGATAAAATTCCTATTCAGTAATTTAGCTGGATTTTTTAGAAGTTAAAAAATTGCAGAGTTATTTTCATTATTAAACAATAGGAAAATTCTTACCATCTTCTCCAGAGTTGCACTGTTTATGATACATTTAATGATCTTTTTCCTGTAAAACAACATCACATTGAGTCGTAAACAGTAAAGATATACATGGAACCATGTTTGCTTATGTGAAGGTGCATGGAACCAGTGCAGAGTCATTCTGGGTGTGGGTAGAGGACCCAGAAAACAACCACATCTACCATTCAGAACGCTTCCTTCTACACAAAAAGATGGTAAGTACTCTATGTAAAAAGAACGTAAGTACTTTCTGTCTGTAACTCCTAGAGATTACATAGATTTCATAAACAAACTGCAAATGTTTTTTTTTTTTTCAAATTAAAGATTTTCTCAGTTTTATCAAATTTTAATGCAAAAAGAATGCATTTTTCGTAGAAATCAGGAAACATATTTTGTCTATTAAGATTTCATTTTCCAGGTATTTTTATTCCATCCAATTAGAATAAGCACTTTTATAGTAAAGCCATTTTATTGCTTTCTACTGCTTATCTTGGTACAGATGCTTTTGTTTTTAAAATAACTTTTTTAAAGGAGCAACGTTGTTTGAAGGATTTTCCATGTGATTTTATCCTATTTACAGGTGAAGGCCAAGGAGCCACAGATTCTAGTCTTTACAATCCCGATCTTTGAACCTCTACCTAGTCAGTACTATGTCAAGGCTGTGTCTGAGAGATGGCTTGGATCAGAGGCTATGTGTGCCATCTCCTTCCAACATCTTATTCTTCCTGAGAAACATCCTCCCCATACAGGTATGTAGTTCAGTAGGGGTGAAAGGTCAGAGGTTGTACAGCAGGAGGGTCAAAGTTGAACATCTAATCAAGATGTTCCTAATTCATATCATCGAGGGTAACACCATCAGCAAAACTCTGTAATATGTCAAATGTGTATTTTGGAGTCAGGATATGTTCATCATTATTGCTGGTAAGATGTGAACATCGTAAGTACCTTTTACTACAACAATCCTAACCTACTTTCATTAATAATAGCATAAGTTTTATATAGACAGTTGGTGCTGATAGAAGGGAATTGAAGAAATGCAAAGTTATCAGTATTTCATTGACCTGCTGTAAAGGTTTTGTAGAAATAATAGTGTGTGCAAAAATGCATATGTATTTTGAAGACTTACCAAGTTTTTTTAGTTTTGAATATACATAAGAAATACCCATTATCTTAGAAGACTGGTTGATAAAGTTTATATTATAGTACCATTAGTCCAGATATTGAAGAGTCTTATGTAAGTAACAAAACCAGATTTTAACTTTGGAATAAAATTGTTGATTGAAGATGTGATGAATACTTGATGTTGTTATCTATTACTTTACAGAATTACTGGACTTGCAGCCTCTGCCTGTCACAGCTTTTAATGACCCCCAGATAGAGACACTCTACAAGTTTACACACTTTAACCCAATACAGACACAAATCTTCCATGTCCTTTATCACACTGACTGCAATGTCCTGCTTGGGGCACCTACAGGATCTGGGAAAACTGTCGCTGCAGAGATGGCCATATTCAGGGTGTTCAGAGAATATCCAAAAGCAAAGGTACATGTGATGTTATGAGAAAGGAATGATGGAACACAAACATATAACACATACAGGATTTTATGTTTTTGTGTGGTATATCTGGGTTAGACTCTGGAATCCATTTGAGTGGTTGCTGTGCATATTATGGGCATAAATGTGTCTTATATGTCAAAATTGGTAAAGATATTCATAATTTCAAAAAAAAAAAAAGTAACAGACTACCACATTTCTACAAAATTTGCCAATCAAAAAGATTTACAATAAATGACATTGTCTTTATGGCACTCCAGTTACGTAACAACTCACAGATATACATCGGACAAATAGGACTTTTGTATCTAAAGTTTTATTTCTCTTTAGTTTTGATTTTTCACCTTCAATGATAAGAAATTGTGTTTGTATTAGTCTGAAAGTTTGGTATATAGTTATATCTTTGGGTTAAATAGAGATTTGAATGGCTTTGGTTCATTGTTGGGTAAAATACGTGGAATATTATGGTGGATATGGAGGATTGACAAGGACTCCTGAAATTATTTTCTGATTAACTTATTATTTTGTAGATACATTGAAGTTCAAAAATCAGTGTAGGTCAGCAAATAAAAAAAGGGTTTTGACTGATTTTTCTATGAATTCCACAGTATTCTGATATGTGGTTCATGATTTTTATGAAAGGGGGTGCCATAACTCTCCATATCTCTATGTTAAATATACAAGACTGTTGTTTTTCTGTCACTATTTTTTAGATTTTGACTTAGAATAAAGTTACTCATGGAGAAGCTGTTCTTTGCTGCTTTTTTTTGTCGGTTAGTTGTCGTACTTTCTGTTATTAGTTTTCATCTCTTACTATTACCTTTACAGGCTGTCTACATTGCACCACTGAAAGCTCTTGTACGAGAGAGAATGGATGACTGGAAAGTCCGGATCCAACAGAAGCTTGGAAAGAAGTAAGTACCTAAAAACAAATTTAGTCATAACATATTGATTCCTAATCATGTTGCTTAAAAGTTTAATAAAAACAGCATTAGTTTTGATTTCCACATCCATTTTGTTGTTCAAACTCATTAAAACAATTAGATCTATCTGTCTTCACATATATACATACACTTAGGTGAATCAGTAAAATCTGCTGCTGTCAGTAATGATACAGTGCTCAAAAGAATATGTGTTCAGACTGAAGATTTGGTGACTAACTAGCCCATCAGCTTCAGTCTGATTTCAGAAAAGTTTGCATTGATTGTCTGTCAGACAAATTGCCCCTGCTGTCTGTCAGTTTCTGGTTTCTTGAATCTTGGTAGTTCATTACTTTGAAATATTTCTCTTTGGTGGGCTGGCATATTATATAGTTATGTTAAATTGAGTTGGTATCAGTTTACCAGTTGGTAAAGGTTGCTTCTGATGGACATGATTTGTAAAATAGTTGTAACTGACCCCTATCCTCTGTAACATGGTTATTCAAACCACTGATGCTAGACAGGTTCAGTGGTAGTAGAGTAATTGGATGATAAATTGTGTACTACTGTAACAAATTTCTATCCTCTGTAAGTTTAGGATAGTTAGACTGGAGATCACACATTTTAAAAAAGCTAGCTAGTGTTGAATCCACTTTAATTTGAGAGTAGATTTACCTAAAATCTGACACTTTAAAAAAGCTTTCAAGTTTAAAACAGATTTGGTTCATATTTGCCCCATATTATCATGCCATCTTGTTCTACAGACTCTGGTTCAAACTTACCTTAAAGTATTGTAACATTGTGTACTGCACCTGATCAGATTCTGGTTCACACTTACCTCATAGTATCATAACATCGTGTACTGCACCTGATCAGATCAGATTCTGGTTCACACTTACCTTATAGTATCATAACATTGTGTACTGCACCTGATCAGATTCTGGTTCACACTTACCTGAAAGTATCGTAACATCGTGTACTGCACCTGATCAGATTCTGGTTCACACTTACCTGAAAGTATCGTAACATCGTGTACTGCACCTGATCAGATTCTGGTTCACACTTACCTTATAGTATCATAACATTGTGTACTGCACCTGATCATATTCTGGTTCACACTTACCTGAAAGTATCGTAACATCGTGTACTGCACCTGATCAGATTCTGGTTCACACTTACCTGAAAGAATTGTAACATTGTGTACTGCACCTGATCAGATTCTGGTTCACACTTACCTGAAAGAATCGTAACATTGTGTACTGCACCTGATCAGATTCTGGTTCACACTTACCTTATAGTATCATGACATCATGTACTGCACCTGATCAGATTCTGGTTCACACTTACCTTATTGTATCATAACATCATGCACTACACTGATCAGATTCTGGTTCACACTTACCGTATAGTATCATAACATCATGTTCTGCACCTGATCAGATTCTGGTTCACACTTACCCTATAGTATCATGACATCATGTTCTGCACCTGATCAGATTCTGGTTCACACTTACCCTATAGTATCATAACGTCATGTTCTACACCTGATCAGATTCTGGTTCACACATACCCTATAGTATCATAACATCATGCACTACACTGATCAGATTCTGGTTCACACATACCCTATAGTATCATAACATCATGCACTACACTGATCAGATTCTGGTTCACACTTACCCTATAGTATCATAACGTCATGTTCTACACCTGATCAGATTCTGGTTCACACATACCCTATAGTATCATAACATCATGCACTACACTGATCAGATTCTGGTTCACACATACCCTATAGTATCATAACATCATGCACTACACTGATCAGATTCTGGTTCACAATTACCTTATAGTATCATAACATCATGTTCTGCACCTGATCAGATTTTGGTTTGTATTAATATGGGAGCATTCATGTCTTATATTTTCTTAATATTTTTTTTTTACAATTCACTGCCTTATCCTTCAGGGTGGTAGAACTGACTGGTGATGTCACCCCAGATATGAGGGCAGTGGCCAATGCTGACCTGATAGTGACCACACCTGAGAAGTGGGATGGGGTTAGTCGGAGCTGGCAGACAAGGAACTATGTTAAAGCAGTTGCTGTACTGATCATCGATGAGATCCACTTATTGGGTGAGTGGTTACAACATATCATAACCGACCTATACCACCCACCTGTATAGATAAGATACTTAACAAGATCAGTTTGAGGTGATTTTTATCAAAGTCTGGAAAAAATATCCACATATAAGTCTGTATATGATCTGAATAATTATGTAAAATACTATACAAAACTTCAGGAAAATTAAGATATTTTGACCTTTTCGTATCTGTCCATATCTTTAAACATTAAAAGATTTGTTAAGTATTATCATGTTCATACACCATTGAGTATGAAGATGTCATATTTCTTTTAATAAACAAATGCTGTATGAAGAGAAATATTTGACCTGATGATGGACATGATTTACAGGGGATGAGAGAGGGCCAGTCCTAGAGGTTATTGTGTCTCGTACTAACTTCATCTCATCACACACTTCCAAACCTGTAAGGGTTGTAGGCCTGTCAACAGCATTGGCAAATGCCAGGGATCTGGCTGACTGGCTCGGCATCAAACAGGTAAGGGGATGAGAGAGGGGTGGGGAGAAAAAAGGGATAGGAGATGGGTGAGGGGGAAGGGGCATGGGAGGGTAGGGATAGGTGGAGTGGAGCAGGAGGAGATGGGGGGGAGGAGGGATGAGAGGGAAAGGATAGGATAGGGGAATGGAAAAAGGGGAAGTAGAGGAGATGCGGGAGGGTAGAAAGATGAAAAAAAGAGGTGATGAGAGGTGAGAAGAAGGGAGAGGTACAGGTAGAGGAAGGGGAAAAAATGGGAGAGGTAGGGAGGGAAATGCAGGATGAGAAGGTGTAGGGAAAGAGAGATTTGGAAAGTGGAAAGACAGGTGAGGTCATGACAGTTAAAGGACAGGAATGGTGGGAAGGAGAATGAGAGAGAAAAAGGGGGAAGGTAAGAGAAAGACTGCAAGATACAATTCTACAAGAATAAGAAAGAGAATTTATAATTGATGTTTGATAGATATCTCTATTAACATTGTTTCATGAATTTAAAAACACAAGTGCACACAGCTGGTCTGGAACTATTGAAAATTTTCTCTTATATATCATATATTAAGATAGATTAGTCAAAATACAAATTTCCAAGTTATGAAGATAATTATTTTTAGCAGTGTTCATTCTAAAACTACAGCTACTGAGTTGTTATTGTTTTCATATCTTACTTATTTGACACCACCAGATGGGTCTGTACAACTTCCGTCCCTCTGTGAGACCTGTCCCATTGGAAGTTCACATCAACGGTTTCCCAGGACAGCACTACTGTCCCCGAATGGCAACCATGAACAAGCCAACTTTCCAAGGTAATTAATGAAGCTTTGCTAACTAATTCCTGCATTTAGAATTCATTAAAGTTGTTCACTGATAATTCAAACCCAATAAAATCACATTGGACATAGTTAAATATGTGTGGAATGACCTGGCTAGTTTAGGTTTATTTCATTCAAAGGCCTTTACCTGTTTACATTATCATGCCTTTTAAGTTCATTTATAGCTGTGGTTAAAGAGATATGTGAGGATTTGCAATGGATTGTAATATATTACTGGTAATTTCAGCCAGGTTTCAGGCAGGTCATGCAGCTGTCACAGAGGCTGATATTGGTTACCAGAGTGTGTTCTCCAGGGCTTTAATTTGTAGATGTAGAATGACAGCCAACATGTTAAGACTAGGGATCAAAAATCAATTTCCAGTACTTTTCTTTAAAGAAATGTAAAAGTAAGGTTGCTCTCATTTTATCATACTATATAAAGAATAATGTGATCTTATTCTTATGCTCTTTTTACAATCGATTGGTAAATCTTTTTAGGGATTGTATAGAGAAAATGTAATACTTTTATCTTGTTCCATGGAATCAATGCTTTTGTAATAACTTTGTAGTCACCTTTTGCAAAGTATACAGAATGGTATTAGGCAATATTACCCTATCATAATGTCATTTGATTCTCATAGTGACAACACACTTTGCTTTGATTTTATAAGAGCTTTGTGAAATGACACCAGGAGTGTGAAAACTGCTAAATAAAGCAGGCTGTTGGATTTATTAAGTACGTCAGCAGTAGCAATATGTGATATAAAACCATAAAACTTCTAGAATATTCATTGTTTGAAGAAATGTTGATATTTCCATTACAAAAAGAATGATACAGACAGGAGGAGACAACTCTAGAAATACATTTGTTGGTAATGTGGCAACAATTTACAATATGTATTTTTATTCAAATTCTGTTCAAGTCGCTCTGTGTCTGTTGTCTGTCCATCCTTGCTGGTGTCCTTGTGTCCGTCTGTCCATAAACAACTTTTGTTATTACTATTTCTTGAGAAGTACTGGATGGATCTTTCTCACATATATAGGTTCCCCTTGGTCCCTAGTTGTGCCTATTTGATTTTGGGTCTGATCAGAAAAAAAAAATGGCCGATAGGCAGCCATGTTGGATTTTCCCTAGTAAAGATTGTTGTTGCTATTTCTTAAGAAGTATTGAATGGATATCTCTCAAATTTCATCAGTATATTCCCTTTGATTTCTCCTTGTGCTTGTTTGATTTTGGATTGATCAGAAGAAACAAATGGCTTCCAGGTGGCAAGTTTGTATTTGGCCGGTAAAGATTGTCATTGCTATTTCTGCTAAGGAGTGTTGAAATGTCTTGTCATTAAGAGCAAAAACAGAGAAGAGAATAGAAGGGAAAACATCCAACTTTCAAAGAGCATATAAAGATTAAACCATGGTGGGCACCAAGATCCCTCTGGGATCTCTTGTTCTTTGTAAGTTTTAATTCTAGAAAATAATGAATTTTTTTCAGTGTCACTACTTAGGTGTTTTATTTTCTGTAGCTGTAAAGTCACACTCACCGGAGAAACCCACACTGATATTTGTGTCATCACGACGTCAGACAAGACTGACAGCCCTTGATCTCATTGCTTTCTTAGCAGCAGAGGAAAATCCCAAACAGTGGCTCCACATGCCTGAAATGGAGGTAAGAAGTTTGTTCTTCTTTAGTGGTTATAACAATATCCACCATTAATCACTCCACCTTTCAGCTGAAGAAGAGATGATAAAATGGATAACGTTTTGCATGCTGATTGGAAATCGCGATATTTGAAGACGTTTTTGCCCTGAAAAGAAGAGCTGATGGGAAGAGATGGAAATCGGAAGAAAAGGTAAGGACAATGAGAGTGTGGATACTAGTGGACAACATCAGTACTGTTAACAATCTCTATACATTGTTTTTGTAGTTTACACATTACTTCGAACCGGACAAAGGTCATAGTGCCCTGACAAAGGTCAAATAATTGTTTTACTATAATACTCTGGCCCTAGTAGATTTGAGTGTATTGCAATGTCTAGTCAACCTTTAATGTTTGTGAAATGGGTCATGTATATTATGAGTTTGAGTTTAAGGTCAAATGGTTGTATGTTTATGGGTCATGTGTATGATATTTTTGCGTTGAAGGTCAAATGGTTGTATGTTTATGGGTCATGTGTATGATATGTTTGCGTTGAAGGTCAAATGGTTGTATGTTTAGGTCAAGGTTACATGTGTGTGTGAGTGTGTTAAGATCAGTATCAGTATGCTGATATTCGTAACAATTTTATTCAGGGTGAAGCATATGTGAAGTCACTTTGAATAATCAAATACCATATTCAGCTTACTATCATTAGATAGTGGACTATTTAAATCACCCTACAACTGTATTCTGTCAATTTTTCACTATTTCTAGAGAAGGACTGGCTGGATTTTTTTTCAAATTTCCAATGTAGGTTCTTTATCCCTATTTGTTCCTGTCAGGATTTTGGACTGGCCATAATAACAAAATGGCTAATGGGCTGTCATATTGGATTTCTTGGATTCAATGAATATTTGTTATTGCTATTCCTTGAGAAGTACTGGATGGATCTTTCTCAAATTTCTGATGTATGTTCCCCTTTTGATTTCTGGACTGATCTGAAAACAAAATGGCTTACAAGCATCCATCTTGGGTTTTGATGATGAAAGATTATTATAGCTATTTCTTGAGAAGTACTGGATGGATCGGTTTCTTATGTAGGTTCCCCTTAGTCCCTAGTTATGCTCTTTTGATTTTGTAACTGATCTCAGGAAAACAACTGGCCAAAAGACGACTATGTTGGTTTTAGTAGTCAAAAGTATATCAATTTCTTAAGAGAAATTATCAAATCTTAAATCATTTAGAGCAAAATCAGAGGAAAGAAGAGAAAAGAACAAATGAAAGTGAAATAATGGTGGGAACCAAGGTCCTCTGATATCACTTGTTTATATTTCAGTGTAAATTGTTTAGTCAGAAGACAGCAGTAGTTAGTGACAATAGTCGAATATTAATCATTTTATCAGGAAAGTATTGAAATTATCTAATAAAGCCAGTGTAAGTGAGAATAGTTGAAGGTTTAATGTCATAACAGGGAAGTATTGAAAGGACCTAGAAAAGTCAGTGTTAGTGAAAATAGTTGAAGATTAATTGTTATATCAGGGAAGTAATGAAATGACCTAGAAAAGTCAGTGTTAGTGAAAATAGTTGAAGATTAATTGTTATATCTGGAAATTATTGACATGATCCAGAAAAGCCAGTGTTAATGACAATAGTTAAAAATTGACTGTTATACCAGGTAGTTATTAAAATGACCTGGAACAACCTGTGCTGGTGCCTTCTGATCATACTGTCAGCTAATCAGATCATCAGTATTTTCAAATGTTTTTCACTCTGTGGATAAAGACCCGAAAGATGTTATGAGATGAGATGAATTAGGAACTGACAAGAGGTAAGAAGTCATGAAATAATTACTGTTAATGGAACAAAATCAATGGTACAAGTTAGTAAGCCCTAATATAACAGAAGATGTTCACTAGTTCTGCGTGTTAAACATATCACTTATTGGTGGCTATCTGGCTGAGGTCTTCTTGGTACAAGTATTGACGGGGATAGTATTCTCTATCCAAACATCCCTTATCTCCGGCATAGCATGGCTTAGGAAACATTTCACGACGTAATCTGGAATAATTAAAGATTTTCCTTAATGATGATAGGTTGTACAATTTAGATCGCACTTGAAATTGATTTTGTGTCGTACCAATGAGTTGGGAATTATTGGGTTGTGCGAGGTTATGCAGGTTTGGAGCCCTCATTGATAGGGTTACATACCAATACTTAAGGATATGGGAGCTTGCCAGGAGCTAAACCATCTAAATCTGTAACACAAACCGTGTGTGTGGAAGAAAATGTGGACATGTACGTTTTGCCAAATAGCTAATTAGAGTGTAATGAAAACTAAATCTGTTCTGATAATTAGCTGTGATTTACTTCATTTGAAGCCCAATAAGTCGTTTTATGTGTCAGGCATTTATATAAGTCATTACATCTTTATAAAGGTCTTGTAACATTTGACATTTTAATATTTGATATAGGACTTACAACATGTCATATAATATTTGATAAAGGTCTTTTAAAAATTTCTCAGAATATTTGATGTTTAACTTTTTTTATATTTAATATTTGACTTCACATAATATTGCGGTATTATATGACCAGCCCTGATTTCAAGAGTGATGTCATGTGATGAGTCTATTAATTTGTTACAGACCTCGTTATATGAATAGAAAAGTGTCACAGACTTAATTTATAGATAAAAAAATTACAGACCAATACTGAAGATTGGCCAAGGAATTTTCCCTTCTATCAATTAACAGTCAATCTCAACATTACACGATTAGAAATCTGGAGCTACATAAATACGATGAATCCCGTTTATGATATTGAATATTAGGATATTTAGCTTGTTATGATTTCTTTAATGTATTGAGTATTCTTCATAGCAATTGTAAAGTGTAAAGAAAAACATTTGTATGCTAGAGTCCAACATGAGATATCGGTTATTATGATATTTTTTGCAGCTCAGAATTGATTTTTGTAAGCTTAAACTTTAAGCATGTGTCCGTATTTGACACCTAGACTGTTCTTTGTGACATTAATTGTTGCCTGAAGCACCCTGCAGTACCCCGTCCTAGGTAATTTTCACAGTCGCTGTCAGTAAACAATAGAGATTAAGTCACCTACTGGTGCAAAAACTTCAGTCAGTACCGATTACATAACGTATAAAAACACATAATACTTTTGATACTTTAGATAGATAGCACTTTTATCACTTAAATTGACGTTTATCATAAAACTTCAAATAATATTCACATAATATTAGATATTAATGCTTCACAAAAAATTTTAATACACAACTTTAGGAACCACAAATGGCCATATGAAGGTGTTTTATGATGGTTTTATTACATAGTTTTGGTGAGTAGCATTGTTGAATCCATTTGCTGAATTATAGGGTCTTATTTCTTTATAGACAGCTTTCCATAAACTCTACCATGTACAGCCATGCACAGTAAAAGCTACTTCATCTTCAAAGTTTTATGGTGGTAATGAGAGAAATCAATCGGGTGAATCCACGCCCTTTTCCGTGTTGATGTGTTCACCTATACACCATTTTATATGTGAAGAAGACATTAATCCTTCTTGATGTACAAAGTTTGTTTCTGCTAATAAAAAGAAATACATTTCTGAACTTTTTCTCCACCCAAGTGTCTGGTTCCTAATGGAATCTATATTTAGTAAACAGACTGGAGAAAACATTTTATTATCACTGTAGTTTCAGTTGACTTGGTGTCTGTAACTAATGGGATGAAGAAGTGTGTAATACCTACTAAAGTCCTAGCCTGAATGCTGATAAGACTGATATCACAGGTTTGGGGAGATAGCACCCTCTGTAAATGTCAAAATCATGTTGAAATCATTTCACAATGGCTTTTAACTTTGTGACAAGGAATTCTTGTCCTATAGGAAATCTTTAGCATTACATCTATAGAAAACACTTAGTGCTATGATCTGGAAACACTTATATCTTGTCCTTTCATACTTACAAACTGTCTAGAGTTTCCATTGGTTAGATTTATAGGGGAGACAACTATTTACTGGAATGTTTAAAAAACTTCCATTTACTTAGGAGACACTTTAAATAAATTTTGACTATATGACAGTCTGAGAAGTGTGAAACAGTATCAATTACCTTTTAGACATATGGGACACTGCCATTTCCATCAGATATATGTGAAACAACAAAATTTATTAAGAAAATAAAACTTTTATTTATTTTACAACAATTGTGAACACATTTTTCAAACATCATAATAATTAGCCTCGTTGTCTCAGATGGAAACTTGCTGGGTCTGTGGGAGGAAACCAGTATACCTGTGTAAAACCCACCTGGTCTGGCAGGTGACCCCATACCTTTTCATATCTGTACAGGGAATAGAACCTCGGACGTTACTAAGAATAATTACTAGACACTATTACAGGGAAATGAGAAATGTACACTGCCATTCATTTCCGAGACGTGTGAAAAAGTGCCATTTACTGAAGAGATATATGAAAAGCTTCCATTTACTTTGGAGACATTAGAAAAGCTGCCATTTGCTTTGGAGACATGCGAGTTGCTACAATTTATTTTAGAGACATATGAGATACTCCCATTTAGGTGGTGCTGACACAATTTTTCGAGTTGTATTAATGCTGCTCCCAAATTTTGGAAGTGTTTTTGATATACTCCATAGCAACAATAATTAATAAACATATTGCAAAATGAGAATTAGTGCTACTCATTTTGACATTACAGAACAACAGACTTTTATTTCTCTAATTCTATAACTTTTTCCCATATTGCTGAATACATAATCATCTTCAGAAATACAGCATACTTCTTGGATAAGTCCTCTCAAACCATGACAGCCTGTGTTGTTAGAAACATGTATTCGATTGTTTATGGTGAAACTGCATTTGCATTTGACATCATATTGTAGCGCTGACATTATCATTACAAATAACACCTCACAAAATACAAAAATAGATTGAACAACGTGCAAAAATACCGACATGTCAGATGGTGCAGACTATATACAGCAGTTGTAAA